ATCAGAGAAAGCAGTATTTTCCTCATCTTCAAGAAATTCTCTGCTGTTGCATATTACAGTAATGGGATGATGTTAAAGCTGCAGGGTGGTACAGCGTGTACAGTGCGGTGCACTTCAAGGTTTGTGCTTGGGCAGTTTATAAATCTAGACCACAACAGGGTGAATATGGCAGGCTGAGAGGACCAGCTACTGTCTACTTTACTGCTGTAATTTACCATAGGAATGAAGAGCAGTAAGTGTGATTGCTTCAACTCTCAAAAATTGTTTCAATGTAAGGCAAGAAGGTGCGGATATGATTCACATGGGAAGTTGTGCTCGGAGTCCAGATCTTACATGTTTGTATTAGTTTTTCCGTTACACCTTGCAATAAAAGAATGTATTTAATCCATCTGTATTGGGCTTCAGTTCGGTTTTCCGTGAGGGTCCTAAAGTTCCAACTTAGAGATTTAAATTACCTGCATTACTGTGCTATTTTTTTTCTGTGGTACATAAAATACCCCTGTTGACCATGGAGAAAGACTACAGATATAAACCAGACCGTAAATAGCCTTTGAAAAGAAAATCAGCGTATGAAAAGAATAAAATACTGTGTGTAGAGACATGTCAAGCTTCGTCAGCTCTAAAAACTAGTTAACGTGATCCTGATGTTTCTGCGTTGCCATGGCTGCTACTTGGCTCCAAGCAGTGCTCAACATTTCCAGCCCCAGAGCAAGGGAGATTCTGCAGCACTGTGTGGTGCTGCTCACCATTAGTGTGTCCCCCAGCCAACAGGACCCTTGCTCGAAGGGTAAATAAATCATCAAAAAAACAGCTGCCTGGTACTGAAGAAAAGGTATGGGGCAGGGGTTGCCCATGAAACAAGAAGTCGAAGGAGCTGTGTTGTAATGGAGTTAGTGGAACAGCTTTGGAGTCTGCTAGTTCAGTACATAACAGCTTCCTGGAGACAGTTGAAAGGAATGTCAAAATCACATGGCAAAAGTGATCTGTAGGTATTTCTGGTGATTCTTGTTCTAAGTTTCTACTTGATTATATCCAGTGCTATTCCACTGTAATTATTTGCAAGCTGATTACTTAGTGAATTTTTAAGAATAATATATTTGAATGTCATAAAGTGAGCTTAGTAAGCTCACTGGCAAGTGATTTAAAATGATATGTCTGTAAATTATTTGTAATTACGGATCCCAGTTAATGAATATCCTAGAATCGATTGAAAATGCCGTTGTTAATAGTGGCTTGGCATAAGATCAGATTGTGTACTTGGCTTCTGTGGCAGGTACAAACATATCATCACAAATTGATTCAAGAGTAGCACTGAAATCCACAGGAAGACAGAATCTGCGTTGAGATAATTTACTTACCCTGCCACAGCCTGTTTCTCCCAGAAGGATTTGTACCTCTTCCTGCTAATGCTATAATCAGTTTAAACGTTCAATGAAATCATAATTTTGACCTTCAAAAATCAGATGCTAGCTTTACATGCTTGTGCATAACCACTTGCATAACCACTTTCTTTTTAGCATCATTTAGTGATCAGGACTGTGCTCCCTGTTTCTGTGGTGAGGGCTATTTAAAATACATTGTTAATTTTCCTTTCATAGCCCTGTGTCTCACAGGAGTGGTTGGATGTCCTAGGGCACCACTGTGAATCTAGACTGGGTCACTGATGCTGCTGAGATAACAGCTTTCTTTGCGGGGCGGGGGGAAACCAGAACAAACACCTGGCTGTAAACTGGTGTGTGTCATTCACGAGTCAGAAGTCTGCAAAGGTCCAACAGATTGTCTGCCGATGCCTGTCTGGGTAGCTGCGCTTGTCCTGGCTTCACAGCAGGCAATCACTGATGTGTCACCATTAGTGTACCACTGGACATCCAAAGCTTGGACAAAAGGGAGTCCTTGGAGACGCCACACTCTTATCCCCACCTTTAATGGGGTAAGGAGGCAGGCGAGTAGCAACACTAGGTTCAGGGTGAGTGTTGTTCAAGACAGGTTCATAGGCAACTCTAGATACACCCTGTTGTCCTGTCATTCGCACAGTAGTATCTTATAGGTAAGTCCTGCTTCTGAAAATCAGCAGCTTGGCATCCTTGCCCTTTGTGTTCTGGTTAGCAGCTTTATGTCTTCAACATCCATGGGGATTGATTGCCATAGTGCTGTGAACAGCACCTGTGAGTTGAGCAGCACGAAAGGCTTAGCTACAAGGACCATGAGTTTCGCTCACAATGTTTTTCTTCATCATCATCCTGTGAACCTAGAACTAAAGCACTGCTGGCACACAGGATGCTTTTTGTTTAGCCAATTTGCCAAAGCCAGCATTTATGGCAAGTGATGAAGAACACAGAGGTTTGCTTCTAGCAGTTACATGCAATGTTTTAGTCCATGAAAATCACATAGTTCTCACTAGAGTGCTTTCCAACAGGTAAAAAGACCTGCGTCTGGGCATAAAGTTTCACGTTAATGAAACTGTCTGTGGGGATTTATTTCTACAGACCCAGCATCAGTTATACTTTTTGAGAGGAGGAATTTTGAAATGCAGTAAATTTTAGTAAGGCTTCATTAACGTTTTCTAGATGTGCATTGAAAATAGAGGAACTGAAGTTAGCTTGGTAGAGCTGCTGGAGTCAGAAGATCGCAAATCAATCGGTTGGTCTCTCTGGCCTTTCTGTGTTCCTTACACACGTGAGGTGTGACAGACATCTTTGCTTTGTTCCCAGTTGCTAAAAACAAACTTCCTTTCAGTCAACTGGCTTTCACATAGCTCAGGAGGAAGAAGAAATCTTTAAAACACTTTTTAGCCACAGCCCGGAGCAGTGTGTTTGTATGTCGCTGGAACGATTCCCTCCATTTCTCTCATTCTTTTTGCCTTAGGTCCATCTACTGAGGTTTTCTCCAAAGCTCAGCCAAATAACCAGGTTTCAGCCTTAGATCTCTGTGGATTGCAGCAGCATTGAGTTGCAGGTCACAGGCAACCTGGTACATGTGAGCACCAGCACGGACTCCTCCAAGCAGATGCTAGGACTTTGAATCTTCGCTCTTGCAGTACTGTCACTTGTACGCGAGTGCTGTCTGTGCGTGTGAGCCTCCTTATGCCAAACAAAGAACGCACTCTGTCCTAAGGAGCTTACAGTAGGACTTCTATATTGATTTTTCCCCTCCGCTGCCGTGGTTACTAGGTAAGAAAACATGAAAAGTCATGCTTTATTATTCATCTCTCCTTCAGCCATAAAGTGTTCTCTTTAGGGGCACATCCTCTAAATTTTGGGTCAAATGGCAAGGTTGCACAAGCTGAAAAATCCTTGAAAATAATTTTGCATAATGCGTTTCATGTCCAAGTAATTTTTCCATGGCATTTCTTTGTTTTAGAAAAGGGCTTATTTTTTTAAGCAATGGGCTACATGAAAAATGAAAAGGCAATCCAGTCTGTCTTTTCTATGTGGTACTGCTGATAATCACCACTTTTCTCATGGTTACTATAGTAACTTGGCATCCTTATCTGCCACCTTTTTTGGCACCTTGAAAAAAACTATTTAAATTCAGTTCCCTGATAAACTGAAAGCTTGGCTTCGCAATACCCATGGGAGCACGTAAGTGTAACAACAATACTTGTCATTTTTTCTTATTTGGTGTTTAACTTGCTTGTTAGCAGCTGTACAGGCAGTTGTAACTGTGATGTTTTGGGGTGCTGCTGCAGGTGTTAAAACCAGTGCAAATGCGAACATCCTGGATGAAACCCCAGAAACAGCCATGAGCTCCCACGGGGTTGCATGCAGCAGCCTACGATGCAAAGACCTGAGCAGGATTTTGCTTTTATTATGCCACTCTAAAAGCAGTTCTGTTTCCAAGCTTGACAGTTTTCAAGAGGAAAAATAATCTATGGAGACTAAACGAACTATTATGAAGGTTCCTGTGGTAAATCAGTGGTGAATCAACAGCCTTGTGATGCTTTTAATCCCTTTCCAAGTGTGTGCCATCCAGTCTGCATGGCAGATGAGAGTGGACCCAGGCTGGGGATGCTGGAGAGCTGAGGGACATTACTGGAGGTGATAGGGTCAAGGCCAATGCAAAGACCTTATTTACATTCATGCAGCATCTACAGCAACAAAAGTTTTCTAACATAGTCTTCATGATCTAAAACCTTAACTGGTCAAAGTTAAACAGTACCCATTTTAAAACAAGTCTACAGAGAAAAGCTATATGCTGAGCACAGCTCTCCAGCAGTTCCACCTCTTTTTTTGCTCTAAGGGCACCAAAATGGTGCTTGTGATAAACGTTTTTTTTTCTAGTTTTGTCAAAATGTGGCCCAGATACATCCCTCTGCTCATGCAGCCCCTGTGCCGATGCCCTTAAAGCTCTCTGCACAGAAGTACCCTCATCTCTGGAAGAGAAAAGGAGATGCTGTCACCTGAACAGCTGGTTTTAGCTCCCGGCCATCGGGCACAACGGTCCGGCGTGTCTTCAGAGGGGCTGAACATTTTGCTGAAGCAGGAGCATTTGGTGATCCACCCCTGCAGGGGTGGCC